ACAAAAATGAGTAAAGTAGGCCAGGTATAGCGTAAGCAGCAATGATGGGAACTACAATGACTGGTACATATATGCCCAGTTCAAAGAGGGCAGCTCTGGCCCTACTAMTTAGCCCCAGGCAATCGAAATAGATAGTTTAGTAGAGTCAGGATTTCCAAGGCTTCTCCAACAAATTCACAAATYCACAAATTTCACTGAGAAACTTTCTGATTTTTCAATGCTGATCACTAGTTGAAACTTAAAAGACACTGCAAAAAAATAATAAAAAACATCTCTAAGGCAGTTTAGTCCAGAGGTCACCTTTGAGCTTGTGTGAAACTACTATCAAAAAGGCATGAGGAAAAGATTAAGATGACATAAAGAATCAATCAAATACAAATTAATAGATGAGCAAAAGAAAGTCTAGTAGAGAAAGAAGAATAGGACAGAGGAGGAAGGGGAGGAAGAGAATGGGAGAGGGGAGGGGGGAAGAAAATAAGGGTAGGAGGATCATGAACTGAAAGAGATTTCCATGCATGTATGAGTTTGTTAGGGTGAACACAACTACTATGTATAATTACAAAACTTTAATAATAAAAAATAAATAAATAAGTTATTTTTTAAAAGGCATGAAGGGGGGCTAGGGTTATGGCTCAGCGGTAGAGCGCTCTCCTCACACATACAAGGCCCTGGGTTTAATCCTCAGTACCACATAAAAATAAACAAATAAAGTTATATTATTTAAAAAAAAAAAAAAAAAAAAGGTGTGAGTGGCCAGGCATGGTGATGYTCGCCTAGAATCCCAGCAGCATCAGAGACTGAGGCAGGAGGATTGAAAGTTCAAAGCCAGCCAGCCCCACTATGGCAAGGTGCTAAACAACTCAGTGAGATCCTATCCCCAAATAAAATACAAAATAGGGCTGGGAATGTGATTCAGTGGTCAAGTGCCCCTGGATTCAATCCCCAGTAACAACAAAAAAAAGAGCATGAGGGAGCAATATATAAAAAAAAAAAAAAAAAAAAAAATTAAAAACTAGGCTTTAGCTGGGTGTGTGATATGCACAATTTCAACTCTCAGTAAGCTGAGGCAAGAGGACCTGGAGTTTGAGGCCAGCCTGAGCAACTAAGTGAGACCCTGTCTCAAAATAATTTTTTTTTAAAAACTGTGATATAGAGCTGGGGCTGTTGCTCAGTGGCAGAGCACTTGCCTAGCACTTGTGAGGCACTGGGTTCAATTCTTAGCACCACTTAAAAACAAACAAAATAAAGGCATGCTGTTCATCTACAACTACAAAAAAAGTATTTAAAAAAAAACTGTGATATAGCTCAGTGGCAGAATGATTGTCTATTATGTGTGAGGCCCTGGGTTCAATCCCCAGTACCACAAAAACAAATAAATAAATAAGCAAGTTAGGCTTTGAGGTCCCACTGGCTTGGGTATGAATGTCTTATTTCCACCACTTAGTGGCAGATGATGCTACATGAACAATCTCTTCAAGCCTTTTTTTCCTATTGTAAAATATCACCTCCCCCAACTATTGAAAAATGAAAATACTAACAATTTCAGGCACTTAATACAAAACAGACATCATAGAAACGTCCCTTATACCCTCTGCCCAACCCTCTTTAGGAAAATTTTAAAGAGTTAAGCTCATACACACCATTGAATGGCTTAAGTTATTAAAAGTACATCAGAAAACTGAAGTGTCTGTCATGCCTATCTCCCCTCAACCCCTAACAGAGGTCTTGTACTTACAGAACATACTCTTAATGTAGGACACATTGAAATGGGTTTTGTTAAGATGACAGAGCTAACTGGACTCTCAAACTCTAGTTTAAAATATAGAGTCAGAGCGCCTTAAAGACAAACACCTGTCTCTTTCATTAATCCCATAGACTCATTTACTGGCAGAAGTCAGAAAACTAGCTTAAGCTTAAACTTTAATGCTTTTAATTCTTTTGCCCAAACTTCCAGAAAGCTTATTTTTATAAAGTATATAGTATAGAGCAAAGCACTTACACCAGATTTTTAAATATAAAAACATGTCACACTCCAAAATTCATTTCATGGATCACTTAATCAAGCCAAAACATTATGGGATTAATTTACTGTTACAACTAAAATATCTTTTGACTTCTCAAACACACCATGAAATTTTTAAAGAAAGATGTTAACTCCCTGTATATCTGTGTTAAAAAAGTAACATGCAGCCTGATACAGAAGCACACGCCTTTAACCCCAGCAACTCTGGAAGCTGAGACAGGATTGAAAATTTGAGATCAGCCTAAGTAATGTAGCAAGACCTGTCTCAAAATTAAAAGGGCTGGAAATGTAACTCAATGGTAGAGCATGTGCAAGACTTGGGTTTGGGTTATGGGGGCAGGTAAAAGGCTCCAACCTGCATTCCCTGCTACTGAGAAGGCTGAAGCAAGAGAACAAAAGTCTAGGAATTCAAAGCCAATCTGGCACACACAGGCTCAAAAAAAAAAGTAATATTCACACATACATAAAAATTATTTGAGCTATAGCTAAACAGTTCCAATGAATTTCTAATGTGGTTACAAACAATTTAAAAAAGCATTTTTATGTATACATTTGAGTGCATGTCTACATATTTTGTGAACTCTAGAAATGTTACTTTATGGTCCTACAAATACAACACAGGATGAGATATGCAAGAATGGACAACATCAGGAAAGTTTAGGATTCTAAACACTTTTAATTCTCACTTTCAGCTTCCCACTTCTCACTTTCAGTCATATGTAGAAGAAAAATTTCACACATAACAGAGATTGACATACTGTAAAGGGGAAAGCAACTAGCAAGAGTTTATTAAGTACCTGGAAATGATTTATACTTTAAAGTTAAATCTGTATTTCCACTAACACTTCTAATTTTATACAAACTTATTTCTCTCCTATACTAAATCAAATATATATTCAATTTAAATGTAGTCTACAAATCAGATAAATATCTAACAAACTTGACCATATATAGCTCAGATCAATAGATAAAACTTGGTACAATAAAATCAAAAATATATCCATGTTCTCAAAAGTTACAATTTTGAAATTTTCAAAATAAAAATTGTCTTAGTTTTTTGAAAAAATTCTTAACAACATCAGAATTTAACATTTTAGCTAGGCACAGTGATAATTGTAATTACCTGTAATTCCAGCTACTCTGGAGGCTGAGGTAAGAAGATTACAAATTTAAAAGTTTAGCCTGGACCATTTAGTGGAACCCTGTCTCAAAATTAAAAAAAAAAAAAAAAAGGACTGGAGATACAGCTCAATGGTAGAGCACTTGCAAAGCAAGGCCCTGCGTTTGGCATGGAAACACGCCTGTAATCCCAGCAACTTGGGAGGTTGAGGCAGGATGGAAAGTTACAGGCCAGCCTTGGCAACTTAGCAAGTCCCAATCTCAAAAAATAAAATAAAAAAGGCTGGGCATGTAGCTCAGTGGTAAAGCGTCCCATCAATCCAGAGTACCAAAAAATAAAGTGTCTCCCGTTTTGTGTTTATTAGCTCATAGAGAAGTGTCTTAAYTCCTGACTACAATCACAAAAAGTGAGAACAGCCAGTCAAGTGATTTTTGTTAGAAGTCACATTTAGAACAGAAATACAAACGTTAARTGAAAACGCCCTTACAAAGGGTTTCCAGATTGGATCCTTTTAAAAAGTACACGTCTATTAGCAACTTTTAACCTAAAATGTACACCTAACAAACTACAACAGACGGCTGCCTACACAGCACCACTCTCAGACTAAGCAGAATATATGACAAATAAACTTATCCCTGCAGTCATCAGTGAAAGGGACAAAGAAAAGAAACAATTCGCTACAAAAAAATATTAAGCTACAGATAGACACTCATCCAAAGCACTCATGAAAAGTTTTCATGCTTTTAAACATACTTTAAGGCTTTTAAGTATACTTTGGGACAAGTCAAAAAGCATACTAAAGTAAAACGTTTTAAACAACAGAATAATGCCACTGGTCCTAGGAAATACTGGAAATAAAAATCATTGTCTTCAAAAACTCGAGTCATCAGAAAAGAGTACAGACTTTCAGCGAAATGTAACTCCAATTTGTACAGGGGAGGGGGCATTGTTTTGACAATCCACAGACTAAACAGTAAGTCTACTCCACCTGAGAGTTGAAGAAAACTCTTGGAGTTGGGTCACCCAGGATCTTCCTTGCATTCTAAGACACCCAATCCAGCCCACAGATCCAAGAACATCCCGAAACATACTACCTCTACCAAACCCTTTCCCTTGGGCGACAGAATGTTTTCACTGAAGCAAACACACCCTCCTGCGCTCTCTTCAAACACTAGGGCACTCAGTGCAGGGCAGTAGGGACAACCCAAATCACTCTTGCCGGACAAGCGGAAGATGACTGCTACACTCCACGGGCGGCCCCACTGCAGAACGGGGTCGGTCTGGATCGCCGCGCTGGGTTAAGAACAATACAAGAGCCCGACCGCAAACATCGCCAACTTCCCCGAGTCTGCGCGGCGGTGCTCCTCCGCGGAGCGGACTCCGGAACCGGCCACCCGGCAGGGGCTGGGGGCTGGGGAGGAAGGTGAGGAGGGTAGCGTTGAGCGAGGGCGGCGAGGACCGCCAGCCCACGGCAGCTGCCTGCGCCGGCGCCCGCCCGCAAGCAGGTTAGAAGGATGCAGCGCCGGCCTGGGCTCCGCAGCTCTCGCCTGGCGACCCGAATCTCCCGACTTCGCTTCTCTGGGAGGAGGAGACTGCCACCTCCCGCAACGCCGGGGCGGTGGGGGCGGGGAAGGCCTCGCCGGAGGCACCGAACCTCCTCGGCCCGCCACTGAAGGGAACGCGGYCGGGGCGCGGGGGACAATAGGGAGCGGGGAGAGCGGCGCGCCCGAGTGGCGCCGCCGGCCGGCCGGGCTGACTGACGCGCCCGCCGCACGGCGCGACTGGGCTCCGCTCAACCTGGCCGCCGCTCCGCCTCGCGGTCCGCTGTGGTCGCGGCGCCCCCGGGTCGTGCCTCACCTCCCAGCCCCGCCACCCAAGAGAGGAGCAGAATTGACACTCTCAGCAACACCATCTTCCGCTGCCGCCGCCGCCGCCTCCWCACGGGTTAACAGCAGCACATCGATCCGGAGGGAGAAGCTGAAGGGGCTTGGTCCGGAGCCTCCACGGGAAGCAGGGACCTCCCCCGGCAGGAGAAACGGCGAAGCACCTCCCTCTCGCTCCACTTCAGGGGCCGGCAACGCTCCCAGCTCCACCAAAACAGGGACCTCCCTCCCCTCACTTGCTTCCTTCCTCCCTTCCCCGCTTTCCTTCCCTCGCTCCTTCCCTCTTCTCAACCCCCCTCCCCCGAGTCACGGATCTCCGCCTCCTTCCTCACCACGTGACGCGCGGGCACCCAACAGGCTCGCGGGGCCGCGCCCCTACCTCCCGTCCCTCCCCCTCCCGCAGGCGCCCCAGGGGCGCGCGCATGCGCGTGCTGCCGGTTCCCGAGCTGCTAGGCCCGCCGCCGCTTCCTGTCCGCCGGCAGACAGCTGGGATTGGTCTTGGAAGGCGGGGCTTCCTCTGGTCCCGCCCCAAGACGAGAGCGCTCTCGCACGACTGTGCTCGGCTCTAACAGCTTCTGGGAAACGTTCCTTGGACTAAAACCCGAGAGTGAAAGGTGTAAAAGTGACAGCTTTGCCCTTAACTTCGGGAGTGACGGAGGTTTTTGTTTCCTCTTTTTCTGTCTCTCCTGATGCTTCAACAACTACCAAATAAATAAAAGTAGTCCCAATAAGCAGTAATCACAGGTGCGACAGCCGCCAGTGATGARAACGTAAATGTAAAGACACTTCAAACAGCAAGAAGACACGACACCATGCTAAGACAGTTTCCTGAGCTCTTTACAAATTTGTCACACTCTAGGACTTAGCCATTGCAAAAGATAGCAAGTACTAAATATCCAGCCCCGTTGCCACTCTGTCCCATTTCTGAAATGAACTCTCCTCATATATCGTTACTCCAAATTCCATGAAGCTCACATTTGGTTTCTCGGTAATTCRCTCTGATTCTTTACACTCGTATTTCATGAAATAGAATTTCTCGATGTCATTTAATTAGAGTTTCATATATTTGGCATCCTGTTTGAGTTGACTGAGTTAGAGGGTATATTACTGAAAATAAATTGAAATTCCTATAGTAAGCTCAAAAATACAAACAGAAATTCCAAAACTATCATTAGAAATTATAGTGTCCATTAATTTCTAATATGATGCATAGACTCAACAGAACATGTTAGAAAATAGCGTGAATTTTTTTCTTTCTTGAAAGATCCAATCTTAGGAACAGTTACCTGCAGACATCACATTGCAAATCACAAGTTTTCTTGTGGATGTGCTGTCACGATGAGGTTTTTATTTCCTAGCTGTTAGACTATCTTGTGGCATGTTTAGTGTTGTACAGTATTTTTTTATAATTAATTCCAGATATTAGAGGCAATGGGACTTTCTCTTTAAGTCAACTGGCACTCACCTGTAAATATAGCAACTCAGGAAGCTGAGGCAGGAGAATTCCAAGTTTGAGGCCAGCCTCAGCAATATATTGAGGCCCTAAGCAACTTAGTGAGAACCTGTCTCAAAAAATAAAAAAGGCTAGGAATGTGGCTCAGTGGTTAAACACTCCTGAGTTCAATCCTCAATACCATATAATATAAATAAATAAATTCTGGAAAAATTCAAAAACTATATTTTATGTTAACAAAGTGATCACCACAAATTTGTTTCCCTCCAATGCACAGGCTGCACCACACACACACAMAMAAAAAAAGATAGTATTTCTTTTATTTTTAAATCATAAATAGCATTACATACCAGCTCATAATGAATGGCTTTCTAATATTATAAGTTTGAACCACTATTTTGTTAGAAGTCATGGATAGTGGGCTGGGGTTGTGGCTCAGTGGTAGAATGCTTGCCTAGCACGTGTGAGGCGCTGAGTTCAATTCTCAGCATCACATATAAATAAATGAATAAAATAAAGGTCCAAAACAGATATTTAAAAAAGAAAAAGGTAGTCATGGATAGTTTGCAAATGAATAAAAAAACTAAAGAAATTTGAAAATATAAAGTCCACATCTACACTAGCACACTCTGCTTGGGCTTGACACCTAGTTGTAGTTTTTATAAGCTGTGAATATAGCCAAGCTATTTTGCCATTCTAACTTCAACATTCTTTTGTAAAAATAAGAATATTTGTTTCCTGGTATTGTTTTATTTTGTTACTGGGGATTGAACCCAGAGACAGTTAACCACTGAGCTACATCCCCAGCCCTTTTTATTTTTAGACAGGGTCTCACTATATTGTTTAGGGCCTTGCTAAATTGCTGAGGCTGGCTTTGAACTTGTGATCCTCCTGCCTCAGCCTCCAGAGTCACTGCAATTGTACAGGTATGTGCCACCATGCCTGACTCCTGGGCTTGTTTGATAATTAAATTCAAATTACATAACATATGTAAAGCAATTATAAAAGTAACCATCAGATAATAATTACTATCCCAGTATTTGTTAAGTAAAAATAAAGAAATACTGCTGTCCTTCCATCATGAATACACAAACATCCATTCAAAAGCAGTAATTATTTTAATAGCATTATTTCCTCAGCAATAATATACTCAGTTTTTGATGGGAGGAATTTTTTCAGTGCTGGGGATTGAACCAAGGACCACATACATGCTTGGAGGATTTCAAGTTCAAGGCCAGCCTCAACAATTCAGTGAGGCCCTAAGGAACTTAGTGAGACCCTGTCTCAAAACAAAAAACAAAAGGGCTAGAGATGTAGCTCAGTGGTTAAGCATCTTTTGTAATAAAAGTCTCCAGAACGTAAAAAAAAAAAAATAGAATAGAATCACCTTTGATGYTTCTTCCTCTTGTTTCTACCCTTAACTAGTCAGCGAGTCATTTTAATTCTTCCCTAGAAATATCTTCTTGTGCCTTTCATCATTCCCTTCACACTGATGTCACTCCAGTTCACACAATTATTTTCAGCTACTTCATCTCCCCTACTCTGGTCTCCCTTACTTCTGGTCCTGCCCCGAACCCTTGCAACCCCAATACTAGGTTASAACCCAGAGCCCTGCACATAATAGGCAAGTACTCTATTACATCCTGCAATTATTCTTATATTTTATTTTGAGATAGGGTCTCAGCAAACTGTCCAGGCTGGCCTCAAAGTTGTGATCCTCCTATCTCAGCCTGAGAACACAAGCATGTTGCTGTTCCAGCCAACTTCAGGTYCTGCTTTTAAATTTCACTTCACTCACTGAAATTTGATGCCTCCTCATCAGGACAAGAAAGCTACTCTTTCTAAAACCATTAAAGATCTGCTAGTTATCAATGGCACTAACACCTTCATTCCTTATCTTACTGGACCTCTCAGACAGCTAATATTCTCCTTAAATTTTTTTTCCCCTGCTGGGAATGTAGCTCAGTGTTAAGGCAGTTGCCTAGCATGTACAATCCACAGTAACACATACTTACACACACAATAAAAAATAACAGCCAGATAAGTGGTGCATTCTTGTAATGCCACCAATTTGGGAGACTGAGGGGAAAGGATTGCAAATCCAAGGCCATCCTCAGCAACTTAGTGAGGACCTAACCAACTTAGTGAGGCCCTGTCCCAAAATAAAAAATAAAAAGGAGTGGGGATATGGGGATATAAAGTGGTAAAGTGTCCCGGAGTTCAAATAATAATTAATTAATTAATTTCATTAATAATAATTAAAACAAAACTCACTCCTTCATTGTTTTTCAAGACTTTGCTCTCTCCAGATTTTCCTCTTACTTTAACTGTGCCTTCATCTATATTTCTTCCCTGGGGCTTTTTCTTCTTTACTGCTTAAATATTATTGCTCCTGAGGATTTTATCCTTGGTTTTTTATCTTCTCATTCTTCACTTGCATGATTATTTCTTACTACTCTCAGATGTGTATGATTTACTCAGCTATAAACTCCATGAAAACAAAGCCTGGATCTGCCTTGTTTTTAATTCTACACCAATGTCTACATTGACTGCAAAGTCAGTGCTTTTCCTGGATCCAAGCCCCGAATCTATATCCTCATTGAACCTCTTTCTAACTATATGACCTTGGGTAAAGTAAGGCATCTATGCATTAGTTTCCAAATCTTTGCAATGTAGTACCTATGCCAGAGGGTTGCTGTGAGAGTTAAGTAAGTTAACAGATATAAAGCACTGTAACAAATGCATAGCACATAAAATTTTAGATATTGCTCTTATTATATATCTAACAYTTACCAGCCATATTGTCTCTGGAGTTACACAACCATATCAAATTTAACATACCCCACTGTATGCAGTGTTACACACCTGTAATCCCATATACTGTGGAATCAGAGAGGAGGATGGCAAATTCTAGGCCAGCGTGAGCAATTTAGCAAGACTCTGTCACAAAGCAAAAACTTAAAAAGACTGGGGATATGGCTTAGTGGTAGAGTGTTCCTGGGTTCAATCTCTAACACTGTGAAAAATAATAATAATACATCCCCAACTGAACAAAACCCTACATCAACTTTCTCAAAACTTCTTTTCCTCTTAAATTTCCTTTTTGGGTTAATGTTACAGCACAAAGGCTTGGTCTGCTCACCACAAGGCAGAAGACAATTTGTGAATAGGCAAGGCAATGGTAAAGAACTTTATGGTGATGAACTGCCTGATTGAATATGGCTGAACTAATGTCCTAAGGACCATCTAAGCTGGGTATAGTGGTGCATACCTATAATCCCAGTGACTCAGAAGGCTGAGGCAAAAGGATTGCAAGTTTGAGAGCAGTCTGGGCCACTTGGCAAGATCCTGTCTCAAAATTTT